ATGCAGCTAGTAAATTTTCCTTAGATTGGCCCTAAAAAACTAATTGCCGAAAAGTTTACTATTTTTTGGGAACAAAGATACTCAACTTGATGCCCAATGATATGGTTAATTTACCGCTACCCATATTTAAAAAAAAAAAATAACCACTCGTTTTACGATATGAATATGTGTGTAAGACTTAAAATTGTATGTAACATACTAGTTTAACGCTTGTAATAGTTACTGGTATTATTTATGAAAAACTCCTTATTTGTTTTTAAAAATAATGTAATATGTACCTAAAACAATTAGAATTGTTTGTAATCTAAGATAACCCATGGGCCTCCACACGAGTTTTTCTCAGTGAGGCCCAGTAATCTTTCGATATTAATTTAAATAAAAATTTAAAAAAATAAAATGCCATATCAACTGGGAAAACCCTTATTTTTATCTGTATCTGATCTTTTTGAATTATATCAAGAAGTAAAAAAATACAATGTTGGATTTGAAGAATTAACAAAAATTATTGAAAATGTTTTGGTAGTTCCAGTATCTAGTGCCTCAGCAGAAAAGAGTTTCTCGACGATGAAAAGAGTAAAAACATATCTAGGTCAACGATGACAAGTAGCAGACTAAATAATTTAACTTTGCTGTCTATTGAGAGAGAAATAAGTGGAAAATTCATAGAAAATCCATCTGCTATAATTGACGAGTTTGCATCAATGAAAAAAAGAAAATTGGATTTTCAATCTAAAAATATTTTAATAAAGCTATATCTTTTTTATTAATTTAATTTCATACTATTAGTTTTAAAACATAAGATAAATCCATGTAATATGCCTGRAATAAATGTATACGGTGTTCTGATACTTTTTTATTTTATAAAACTATTCATTGGTAATCCTTACATAAAAATATCGGGCCTACCCAGAAAAAAGTGTCTAGCTACGCCACTAGGGGCCATTGAGTAATGATCCATGAGTAAATTTTCTTTTTAAATTGGCTATAATTAATTTGGGATCTTAGTTGAATATCATTGACTTATCGACACATCTGACAGCCATTGGGATTTTATACTCTATACATCGAGTRGAATATTTTGGTAGATATTCGATCCATTAGGTGARAATGTGGAACGTACCTCATTGCATCAGGCTAAATTAATTATATCTTAAATATTATTATATAGTTTTGTGTTATTTTGTGTATGTGTAGTTTATTAGTTTGAAATATAAAACAATGACAAACTGAGATTTAAAATAATTATAATAAATTATATTTTCATAGCAAATTATTTCATTGTTCCGAGTAACATTGAATCAATTATGTTAAATTTACGTAAGTTAACATAATGAGTCATTCATAGATTTATAATTAATTATTTTATAATTTTTACTGTGCTTATATATGACTAATTGTATTACAACATTCAACATGTAACAAAAATATGGATTGATGATAATACGCTGTCTATGTATCTAGATTATGAAAAACTAAATTTATACCTAACGGATATCACGTGGTTAAATTATTACATTTGTTTAGTTATTTAAAAATAATTTAATAGATATACATATTATATTATCATAATTCTGCATCGGGGAAATAGGGAAGGGATTCACTATGAAATATTATTTTATAATAAATTGTACCCATTCTTGTTGTTCGGGAACGAACATTAATAGGTCATGCACCCGGTTACCGAGCATATACGAGCAATCACACATACCGACCGTCGTATTTTTGTGTCCATACTGTTTATAGGTACTGTATATATTATATGTGTTATAGTTCATTACCATTGGTTGAATTCGTCGTGAAAATCCTAGTGAGCTATGGGGTAAAGAAATGTGTGTGTGTACTTAAAGGCTAATGACTCAAGTAATAAATGGTAACAGGGTTTCATATGATTGAATTACTGTATTACGAAATGTAAATAACGTCCAATAAAATAAATCTTGGCAAAATCAAAATATAAATATATTGGTCGCTGCATATTAAACCCACAGTTAATAGTAGTGTGTATTTGTATGTTCACTGCCAGCTTTTACGCGGTAAAAAAAATTGTTCAAGCGGAAATGTTCCGCTCCGAGAACACCGATTTACCGCGTAACACAATACGGTGATYACACAAAATTGTCCGTCTATTTGCGCCTTGCACAAAAATATTTATCGTATTTTTTTTTATATTTTATAATTTTTTTTATATTTACAACAATTTTTTTATTAGATTTTTCGTTTTTTTTTTTAATTTTTCAATCAAATATCGCTAATTTTTATAAAAAAAGTTCATTAAATAATTTGTGTTCTTTACTTGAAATATGATTTTTATAAAAATTATCGATATTTGATTGAAAAATTTAAAAAACAAAACGGAACATTTAATAAAAAATAGTTGATACGGTAAATATTTTTGTGCAAGCCACAAACAGACGGACAATTTTGTATAATCACCGTATTGTGTTACGCGGTAAATCGGTGTTCTCGGAGCGGAACATTTCTACTTGAACAATTTTTTTTACCGTGTAAAAGCTGGCTGTGAACATACAAATACATACTACTGTTAATTGACTCATTCATGTACTATAGACTCAAATCTACTGGTTCCGATTTGCACATATACTTCTATTTTTGCATATGGCACTTATGTCCGTGAGTTGGCTTGAAGGCCTAGTTTGGACGCTTAATTGGCAGAATTTCTAATGGGCAACCGTAGGTTTCTGCCATGTTCGGGTTGAGGGCGGCGGCCTCTCACTCTTCAGACAGCCTGTACTGCCCAGAAAGCGATGTCCACTCATGACTACAGGGATTCGACTCGGCAACGGTGAGACAGTGACCACAGCACCCGCAAGTATACTAACACATAATAAAAAGTTCGTTTATTAGATTCACATACCGGTCAATGGAGTCATTTTGAACGGTAAAAGGGAAAATCCAATCAACTCTGGATGGGTTTTTATCAAAATTAAATTAGGTACCAAGCGTATTATTATGTTACAATATTTTACTACTTTATTTTTGATTAAACAATTTCTTTTAAATACCCATACAGTATTTTAGATCCTGAGCGGAGCAATGAATGTATTGATTTTTGATCGACAAGACTACTATAAAGATTGACTTCCTCACATTTTTAATRTTTTATATTTCTAAAAATGTTATATTAAAAATTTACATTATTCAATTTTTGCAGAAGATAAAGTTAAAATAATTAAAAAATGTGCGGAAGTTGATCTAAAGTATACTTGACAAAAAATTCGAATTTGTTTTCAGAAATCTTATCGCTTCACTTTATATTCGTTTGGCAGAGGACACTGTTAAAATTCTTTGTGTTAGACAAAGATACAAAATCGTGATATCGAATCCCCTTAAGTAAATCTTTCTCTGAATAATTATCAAAAAATTATATACCATTAAAATAGTATTAGAAGCATCACAAGTTTTTTACATTCCTTTCTGTGTTTTCACTATACATATACCATACCTGTAAGTTTATAGTATGCGTTTTTACGAGTTTATGCTACAGTAAATAATACCATCAATTATATTTTATATTAGAGAAAAAATTTTCAAAAATAAACAATGATACAACAAACCGTGAGTAACTATTATCAATGACCTATAACTGTAATTTATAATTATTTATAATTTTGTTTTTCTGCCAATAAACTTGTGACAGAGAATACGTTTTTGTTCCACGACATGCTGTTAGCCACACGTACCAATTCACAATTGGGGGAATTATTGATTCCGCCGAAATTACCTGTTCAGGAAAAAGGTTTACCTATATCGATTTCGCCGGCTACTGTTTATAATGTCTACATATTGATTCCACCGGATATTAATTCAGCCGGCTACTGTTTATCCCTCCCTTGTAAATGTATTTTAAAATATACAGTCCTTCATAATATGATGCATAATATATATTATATTAATAAAATTATAATAATTGTATATAAATTCAAACCTAAAATGTATAGTCTAATTAATACGTGTATGTAAATATTTTGTAAAGTGTATAGTCTAAATTCTATTTATATACGTATTGCTATAACGTATTTCGTTACACATAAATGTCAGTTATGATTCTGACTGAAATCTTATCTTTAAGATATGATATATCTTAATATCTATAAGACTGTGGTAATTCGCGTGGCGATTACCGTGCCCGTACTCGTAAATAAGGTAGGCAAGTTGAAACAGATGCAAAACAAAACAACACGTGATAAATTAGACTGACTTTATTGTGGTTGACAATCGACAAACACAGAGATTTCTCACAGTTGTGATACAAAAGAAAAAAAAAGTGGGTTACGCGGAGCCGGGGCTACTACACGAGCGTTCTATCTCGCGCTGATATATATAAAAAAACGCGGTAAGACATAAACTATGCGAGCGCGGTTACCAAAAAACGGAAAAACAGATTGAGATTTTGAGAACGTTGCGTGCGGTCGAAGAGAAAAAACGGTAGTGTTGCGGTAGGCCGCAGAGCTTGCGTGGGACGCCGTTGTCGCTGCGACGGCACAGTCAAGCGCGGAGGGGAGCGCGATACGCGCGAAATAATTGCACGGATGGAAACATATTACAATAAAAAATGGGTACGGTAAAAATGGTACAAGTTTACAATAAAAATAAATAAATACAATAAATACGATAAATACAAAGAGTATTAAATATCAAGTGGTGATAATGCTGTCGCCACATTACTCCCCCTCGGCGAAAAGAAAAAAACAATTGCGCGTTTTTTAGAAAATATCGCGCGCGTAGGAATGGTCGGCRATCGGATCCTCGCGTAAGACGAATGCTGGCTTGAAACGGTCGATGGAAATCCAGGTCGTTGATTGGCCGCGTTGCAACTTGAATATTTTTTCGCGGCGTTCCAAAACTGCGATATGTCCCTCGTAACGTGGCTGTAGCGGCGGCTTGACGGTGTCGATCCTGATGAAGACGTATGGTTGAGTTCGTCGGGCACGAAGGTGGTGCGCCGAGTGTTGTGGTTCGTAGCGGGCGTGAAACGCAGTTGACTCATCGATTGACGCGGGGCGACTACCAGCTCAGGCGGTTGTGGCTCGGGTGGCGCGTAATGAAAGTACTCGCCTKGTAGTCGGAGCGTAGTGCCGTATATCAACTCGGCCGGAGTGTGATCAGTGCCTGCTTTAACTGTGCTGCGTAACGCGAGTAACACGATCGGTAGCTTGACCGACCACTGCGGCGTTTCGTGTGCGGTAAGCGCGGATTTAAGCGTGTGATGGAAACGCTCAACCATGCCATTGGACTGCGGGTGGTACGGCGACGTCCGTATGTGCTAAATGCCGAAGGTGATCAAAAGTGATGTGAACAAATCCGACTCGAACTGCCTGCCTTGATCGGTGGTGATGAAGTCGGGCACGCCGAAACGCGCTATCCAGTTCGTAACGAGTAGACGCGCGACTGCGTGCGCGGAAATGTTGTCGATCGACCAAGCTTCGGGCCATCGCGTGAATTGGTCGACGGCGGTCAATAGATACTTAAAACCGTTGGACGGCGGGAGCGGCCCGACTAAATCGACGTGTATATGCACTGTTGCAACTTGCTAGTATTTTTGCAGGCGATCGAACACGGTGCGCTCATGTCGAAAATGCTCACTCTCGTCGCGTGAGGCGATTAATACGTCGTCGATATACGCGAAATTGAAATCACGCGTTGAAAGGTTTGTGCGGCGTTGCGCAATCCGAAACACATGACGGGGAACTCGAACAAACCGAACGGAGTCGTGACGGCGGTCTTGTGTACATCTTTTGGCGCGATCGGTACCTGATGATATGCCCGCACGAGGTCCAGCTTGGTGAAAACAGTTTTTCCGGCTAAGTTGGCCGTAAAATCATGCAGGTGTGGCAGAGGGTAGCGATCGGGTGCCGTGACCGCGTTGAGTCGGCGGTAGTCCCCGCATGGTCGGAACGTGTCGTCTTTTTTGTCAACTAGCAGCAACGGGTTGGCCCACGCGCTCGACGATGGTCGACAGATACCCTTCTGTCGCATGAATTTGAACTCGGCGCGTGCCACTTGAAGACGGTCGGGGGGTAGACGACGCGAGCGTGAAAAGAGCGACGGGCCGGTCGTTTGCAGTTCTTGTACGACGTCGTGTAGAACTTGGTCGGGACCGGCGATTCTCGCGTGACTCGCGGTAGTCCAGCAGTAGCCGATGTCCACTTGGATGGTCGTGCGACGGTGCACAGGCTGGTGTCTGTAGTGTCGATAACGGAGACTGCTTTCACGGACGTGTTTTGGTTTAGGTCGACGAGTCGATTATTCCGTATGTCGCCAAACCAAGTAGTGTAAAAAGTCTGCACCTGCAGTGATCGGTCGGGCTACGTCGGCCATCTCGAAAGTCCAAGTGTAGAGTCGTTTGAGGCCGAGGTCGAGATGTAGTTCTTGAGGACCGAATGTTTTGATCTGGGTGYCATTTACAGCTACTAGTTTGAAATCGTTGTTAGTTTTTTGAAATACGGATCTTGAGTTGGGGGGAATGACCGAAATTTCTGCGCCGGAGTCGATTAGGAATCGACGTCCGGTACGGGTGTCAGAGACGAAGAGTCGGCGATTTTGGAGGGGGGGTCGTGCGGCGAGGTGTTGTGCGACCACCGCCGCCTTACGGAGTTTTCCGCGTAGTCGGAGTGAAAGTGCATGGGTCACGGCATTTGCGTGCTTCGGGGCCGTACCAACTGTGGTAGTAGCACCAGCCTGACGGTGTTACTGCGCGGGATGGCTGCGTGACTTGTAGAGGCATCTGTGACGGTTGCGCAGGTATTTGAGGCACGTACGTCTGACGCGCGGGTAATTGCTGCACGTAATCCGGGACGTGCGTAATCTGCAACTGTGCTGAAATGGCAGCCAGCTGCGCTGTGATGTCGCGAGTGGCGTTCTCGAGCGCGCTTGCACATTTACGACCGTGATGTCACGCGACTCCTCCTGCTCCAGCTTACACGATGGCGGAAATATGGCAGCGAAACGCCGTTTGGGTGGCACGTGGACATCAACGAGCTCGCTGCCCCGAGCTGCCTCCATCCGCGCGTTCGGCCAACGCGTCGAGGGACCCTGACAGTCCGGCGATGACGGTGCGGACTGATGGCGGAAGCTTCTGGAGCCAAAAGTGTTCCAGCAAGACGTCGCTCATGTCGTCCGGGTAGAGGGCTAGAGTCCCGCAACAACCGTGATGGTGTGCGATCGCCCAGCCCGCCAGGTTGGATGATAGTCTGGAGGCGTGTCGACTGTGGGACCATGTAGGTCTTAATGAGCATCGAACGTAGTGCGGCGTACGTCACCGACTCTCCCAGGAGGTCGGAAACCGTAAGGACGCCCTCTTCGTCGAGCGCGGCCAGCACAAAGTTGACGCGTGTGACGTCACTACGCACTCGATTAGAGTGAAACACGGCTTCAGCGTGCGTGAACCATTCTCTAAGTGATTGTCTACAAAATCCCGGGAGGCGCACATGTGAGGTGGCGGCGACTTCGACTGTCGCGGCGGCTTCGTGTGCAACATCGATCGGATAGGCGGGTGTTGGTGCCGGTATGTCAGCTTGTTCGCGTTGATCTTCGTTGCGTTGCATTAGTGTGTTTACGCGCCACGTGTTGTCGGATGAAATCGGATAAAGACCGTCACGTGGTCGGGTATCGGCGTTCCTTTTTCCGGTTTAAAATACGAGGTCACCAATGCGGTAATTCGCGTGGCGATTATCAGCACGCCCGTACTCGTAAATGAGGTAGGAAAGTTTAAACAAATGCAAAACAAAACAACACGTGATAATATAGACTGACTTTATTGTGGTTGACAATCGATAAACACAGAGATTTCTCACAGTTGTGATACAAAAGAAAAAAAAAGTGGGTCACGTGGAGCCGGGGCTACGACACGAGCGTTCTATCTCGCACTGATATAAACAAAAAACGCGGTAAGACACAAACGGTGTATGGTCTATGCGACTATGCGAGCGCGGTTAACAAAAAACGGAAAAACAGATTGAGATTTTGAGAACGCTGCGTGCGGTCGCAGAAGAAAACGGTAGTGTTGCGGTTAGGTGCGAAATAATTGCACAGGTGGAAACATATTACAATAAAAAATGGGTACGGTAAAAATGGTTAGTTTACAATAAAAACAAATAAATACAATAAATACGATAAATACAAAGAGTATACAATATCAAGTGGTGATAATGCTGTCGCCACAAGACCTATAATATTTATATATATTTTATATTGTTAAAATGTGGACTTTCTAATCTTCCCATGTTACTTCTCGCCTAGTTACTAATCAGTTAAAGAAATCGCTCCACCACGTGCATAGTGTCGGACATAAGTATTATTATATTTATTAAAGCGTATTATTTATTACCTAGTTATAAATTATAATGAACTTTACTATAGTTTCTAGTGAAAAAAAAATGATTTGATTTTATATAATGATCATAAATATTATAAAAAAGACTATGTTAAGTATTTAGATGCTCTTAAATGGCAGTGATAAATAAAAAGTGTACTGCAAAAATGTATGTGAATCAAGCAAAAAATATAAAGACACATATCATGCGCGATTGTTTGGTTATGTTATTGAAAAATGTTCAGAAATCAATTTATCGTTCAGTCCATTGGAAATAGTTTCTTATTTTGAAGAAGATATACATATTGGTGCAAAAACCATTTGTCCAGAAATATAAATTATTTTATTACATTTCATTTGACGCAAAATTGGTGGAAACCCATTCAAAAATACAAACTGACATATATATATAAATGGAATAATATATTAAATACAATTAAATTATGTTTATATTAATTATACTATACATTTTAATATTTTATAATGTATTTACATACACGTATTAATTAGAATATATCATATTTTAGTTTCGAATTATACAGTTATTATCATTTTATACATATTATAAAATACTATATATTTTGAAATACAAGGGGGAGGGGATTAATAGTGTCCGGCTGAATCGATTTGTAAATACTATAAACCAGAGGTATTCAAACTGTGCGTCGCGGCTCCCAAAGGCGTCGTGAAAGTTTGCAAAGGGATCCATGTCAAAGCACCGAAAACCAACATCATACCTAGGTCTTGTATAATTATTATAAATATTATTTGAAATAATTATGGAAATTAAAACGACACACCTTACGATTCGACCATTTGAAGTCTTATTTCTAGTCACTATTATTATCACCCGTATAGAATATTTCCCATATTGTATCCGTGTGTTGTTTCAATTTTTTCATAATAATTTGGGAGCCGTAAAAATATTGTGAAACCCCAAAGGAGCCGCGCGCTGAAAAAGTTTGAATACCTCTGCTATAAACAGTAACCGGTGGAATCGATGTCTAGATATTTTAAACAGTACCTAGCCAGCGGAATTAATAGCCGGCGGCGGAATCAATATACGTCTACCAATTATTGATGTAATGAAGCGATAAGAATTTAAAAAA